ATAATAATAAAGAAAGACAAAAGAAAAAGCAAAAGAAAAACAAAGAAACTGCAATAAACTGCAGTCCTAAAGAGGGTCAGAGTTCTGGGAAGTTTTACAAGTTGTTCCGTGAGCACCTTTGAAGAAATCCATAGTTTTGGCGTCATGATAGATAAAGTACTAAAGAAAATTTCTGATCGTTTACTCTGACATGTATGATATTCCAAGTCAAATATACTTTTAATTAATACTTTTATTTCTGTTTTCTTTTTTCTTTATAAGGCATATTATGAGATTTGATCTAAAAGATCATGTTTAGAGGTTCTAGCTATTTCTCTGCAGGATTGACCTAAGATTTAAGTGCTCTCTTCACCCCCCCCTCCCGTCTGCTTAAAAAAAAAAAAAAAAAAAAAAAAAAAAAAATCACCTTCCCTTCTCACATCTCTCTTCTGCTTTCCCTCTCTCCTTCAACTCTGCAGTGGTGAGTAAGAGGGAGAAGAGTAGCTTTCTCATCAGTCATCACAGCCACTAGTAAAAAAAAAAAATCATTGTTCCTTCTCACATCTCTCTTCTGCTTTCCCTCTCTCCTTCAACTCTGCAGTGGTGAGTAAGAGGGAGAAGAGTAGCTTTCTCATCAGTCATCAAGTGACAGCCACTAGTACTGCCCTATCTTGAGGAAGCTCCATCTCACAAATTCAAAGTGCTTTTTACCCTCCATCCCTCCATTCCATGCCCCATAATAAAACAGGCTCCAGGGCAAAAGGGGCAGGACTGTAAATCAAAGTTTCAAAGTATCATCTTACATTCCAGACATTCCACTCAGTTAAGAGCCAGCCTTACTCTTAACTTTCTACCTACTTGTCCTACATCAGAGACTGTGCCTCTTAACCAACATTTTAATTCTACCTGGTTACTTGGTCCACTAGAAGGTCCATCAGTCAGTCAATCTTTTAAATCTTGTAAATCTCTATTCTCAATAGTAATCCCAATCATAATCTCAAACTAGCAAATTCACAAAGGAACTCAGCCCCTTTACTTTCCCTGTAGAGGGAACTAGTGCATTCACTGGTTCCAGAAAGGAATGTAGAGATGGGAAGACCAGGTCATAGACCCAGCTTTTCTAAGCTAAGAAAATTACCAAGCACCTGTGACTTCCAAAGGCAAAGAAGTTTCTGGAACCTGCACATTTGCCAGAAGATGTCCAAAAACCCACTGAACGAAAAGGGTTTGTCTCAGGTAGAGAGAACCCCAAGGTACATTCAAGCCTAGATGCCTCTGCAGTAAAGGACTGGTCACAACATGACTCTTTACTGTTTAGTCAAGATAAAGAGTTTCATAATTCTCCCCTAAGTCATAACATTCTTAGAGACTGGGCAGAATCAGAAAAGGTTGCATCATCTCTGATAAGGAATTTCAGATCTCTCCCCATGGAGAGATTAACTCAGTGCTAAGAACAGGCCTAGTGGGAGGGTGTGGGCTTTATTATGGCAGACACAGCAGAGTCAAATCTAGGTGACCAAACTAATAGGATAGTTAGGGGCATAAAGACAAAGCTTCTCCAATCACCCCCCACCCCCACCCCCTAGCTCAGGAAACAAGTCAGTCAGTTCCAAGACTGACAAAGCCCCCGCACCCACAGCCCTCAGGAGACATTTATTATTTCCATTTCAGGATTATAAAGGTTCCCATAACCATTGAAGAACAGAGAAAAGTCTACCGAGTTCTAGCCTGCTAGAGAACCTAACAGGGACAGAATACCAGAATACCAGAGAAAGTTCCTGACCCAATTCCACAAACCCACATGTTCCCAGAACTGCCCTAAAACAAATAAAGGTTCCAGACCTAGAATTGGAGAGGCAGAATATAGAGAACCCCTTTCTCCATTTTAAACAAACAAGCAAACACATAGGAGAAAGAATAAAGATAAAAGTTATGGCAGCAATAATATAAAATACTCAAGCCAAAGGAGACAGCCAAGTACTAATCTCTGCCAGCAGAGCTCTGACCTCATATTTTGTGTTTCAGGTCACTTTTGATCACACTTGTAGAAGAGGGAAGTGGGAAATGCAATATAATGAAGGCCTTGGTGCAACCCAAAGGCCTCAATAAATTATATTTACAGATAAACCGAATGAGATGGGGGCTACAGGTGGAGAACTGTTCCTTTCCTTAAGGCCTCCGGTCTCTCCCTCCTCCAGCTCCTAGCTTTCTCCCTCCTCATTAACAATTTTGATTGTGGGGAAGAGGTTTTGACCAGCAAAACAGAGGCAGATCAAGCCGGGATCTGCCACCCCTGCTCTCCCCAGTGAAAAATATTGACATGGTGGCAGTTTCTGATACTGGAGGGGCCTTGCACACCTCCATGCCCAAGTCTGACAGAGAAGCAGGGATAAGCCGGAAGCTTTCCCGGCTTCCAGAAAGTGAGCGGCGACTGGGCCGTCGCTCAGCTAGGGCCCCCCAAAATGTGGTAGTGCACTTTGGTGTTGGTAGCAGCTCCGTGTTTCTGGCGCAGATGCAGCCGTAGTTGACTCTTGTGCCGGAAATGCAGGCCGCAGGGGTCGCACTGTGGGAGGACAGCCGAGTCAGGTCCCCCACCCACAACCACCTTTTAGGTGTTGAGAGAGGAACTGTCCAGCTCTCTGCCGAAGAGATCATCTTTAGTCCTCATGTCCTCCTAAATTCTCAGGGGGAGGCCAAGAAGATTGGCGTCCCTCTCTTCAGCAAAGGTTTTTCCATCGTTTGGTTCCTCTTCAGGAGCATAGCGTCCAGTCCAGGACTCTACCTTCTATACCTGGCCATCCCTCTCCGGATCCCCGCCCCTTATTCACAATCCTACCTACGGCTCCGCCCCTTGCGCACACGGACTCTTCCAGGACACCACCCATTTCGTAGAGCTCTAGTGACTGCTAGGCCCGCTCCTCCCTCTCGGAGCCCCGCCCCTAGGTAAACCGGAGGTAATTCTAAGGCTTTGGGGCCAGGCCAGGTTGGGTACTCACATGGTAAGGCTTCTCTCCTGTGTGGATGCGAACGTGGCTCTTGAGGGTCTGTAGGTGGCGGAAGCGAGTCCCGCAGGTGGGGCAAGGATAGGGCTTCTCCCCAGTGTGGATCAGCACGTGCGCGCGCAGATGCGCTACCTGGGATGGGAGGGGACCTCAGGTCGCGCCCCTGGGAGGGACAGAACCCTCCCCGTATGCCCCGCCCTCCCCTCTTGCAAATTTGCCTTTGAGCTGGTTCTGAGACTGGATCCGTACCTGCACGAAGCGCGAGCCACACGTCTCACACTTATAGGGCTTTTCTCCCGAATGGATGCGGCTATGCGTTTTCAGGTTAGCTGGCCGGTTAAAGCGGGCTCCGCAGATGGAGCAGTGGTAGGGCTTTTCCCCTGGAGGCGGGGAGGAAGAGAGGTCAGGGACTCGTCCCTAGGATACCTGTGGGCATGAAAGCCAAGGCCCTCTCCTCCCTGCTCCTCTCCTACCTGTGTGCACCGTGCGGTGACTGGCCAGGTTGCCCTTGTAGCGGAAGGCAGACCGGCAGAGCTGACACTTGTAGGGCTTGTCTTCATCCTCAGGAACCAAAGGGTCCAGCCCAGATGAGCACCCAGCCACAGCCTCGCAGTTCTGGCAGCTGAAAAATTCACTTCCTGCCGGGGGGGGAGGGCGCGTGGGTAATGACGACAATACCAGGGAATCCTCAAACCACACAGTAGTAGGTTGTCTTTTTCTCAATATACTGTTAAGGCTTCTGGGGCTCGTTTGACTTGCTGGAAGTCACATGGTTAGTAACGGGAAGCCAAGATCTGACTCCATGTTTGTCTGACTCCAGAGTACTCTACTAATCTCTTCAATGGTGGTGGTAGTAGGTGGAGGGCCCTGCTAGTGGATGGAGGTTTCTGTTTCTCTCTTCTCTTGCACCACTCTGGATGACAGCATACCAGAGAGGTCCTGCCAAGCCCTGGGCTGACCACTCAGTCCTGGATGAGAATAGGCTAGAAGTTCCCAAACACTGCTGCTCATTGGAAGCTTTAAAAAATACTAATAACTGGCTCCCACTTCCAGACGTTCTGATCTATGGGGTGTAACCTGGGCAATGAGATTTTTAAAAGCTCTCTAGGTGATTCTAATTTGCAGGACATAATTGGAATAGGCCTTTCCCGAGGCATTTTTTGGCCAAAACTGGCCTTGAGCAGCCACAAGAGGAAAGCCCAGAAGGAAGTAAAAAGAAGGGCTTTTACCTGGTGGTGGATAAGCCTGCCCAGAGGGTGATGTAATGGCCTCTTGAGCCTGGGGTATGATATGGGGTGTATTGACTGAAGCCCCACATTTGAACTGTACAGTCACAGCAGCTGGAGAGAGTCTAGGCAGAGTAAAAGGTTAAGAGAGATTATGTAGAGGGGTTTCTCTGCAAAAGAATTTGAAGCCAAAGGCCTACCCTCCAGAAGTGAGCTAGTATTGACCAATGAGCCATATCCAATTGTGCTGCCAAAGACCCACCCCACTAAGTCTGGCCTCTGGCCAACTTCCTAAAGTGGGCTAGTATCCCTGGAACCCACCCCCTCACTCCCAGCTCCTGACCGACCACCCAGGCCCAATAGCTCTGCCTCCTAGCTGAGGCTAGCCACTACAAATTCTTGGGGTTCCAGTTTCTGTACCTGCTCTGGGGACCAGGAATGGGTCCTTCTTCACTGCCACTGCTGCTGCTGCTGCTGCTGCTAGAAGCCTCATCTCCACTGGGGAGCCCAGCTTGGGGGCAAAGTTGAACAGAACTCCTCTCCCCCGCCAGGCTCCCTGCTTGGGAGGCCTGAGAGTTTAGCACGATGAACTTGTACTTTTTCCAGTTGCAGGCCTTGGTGTCTGGGCTGCCTGGACTGGGGGGGGCTTGACTGCAGCTGCGAGACTCAGTAGGTGGGTCTGGGTGCCCTTCGGAGCGCCTGGGACTGCCTGGTGGAGGGGCCGTTGGGGCCGTGGGAGGTTCTGCCTCCAAGGGCCGCAGGGAGATGCCCAGAGGTTCATAGCTGGGAAAAGTGCGATGGACATTAGTGCTATTTCCTAATCTGGGCCTCTGCCCTTGACACCTGGGATACCACCTCACCCACTGAGAACACCGAGTTGCGGCTCCCCCACCTGGCCTGGATGAAGCGATGGCATGCCTGGACGACATGTTCCATCTGCAGGTAAGTGGCAGCCGCAAGAACGGCTGGTGCAGTGGCCAGAGAAAGACGGAGGCGCGAAGTGTACATGAAGTCCAGAAGAGGGGCGAAACCTCCGGCTTCGGGACCCCCAGGCAGGGAGAGCACATCCACTCCCACTCCTGCGCGGCCTCGGAAAATTGAATAGAAGAAGCCACTGGAGAAAAGGCAGATAGGTCAAATTAGGGGCTGGGGAACTAAGGGAGACCCAGGTCACCATATAAAGCCACGCCCCATAAAGAGCCCCGCCTCCTCACCATCACCCCGCCCCAATTCCGGGATGCTCCGCCTCCTGCTTCTGGAAGGCTTTGCTTCGGGTTCCCTCCCAAAGACCTTATATCTCTGCCCCTTTCCCATTTAGTCCCACCCCATCCCATGAGGCTCCCCTCGAACCTGCAGGCGATAAGGACTGCCTTGTGCGCTCGAAGGGGTTGCCCGCCAACCAGTAGCGTGACGTCAGTGAGGATCCCGCGCAGGCGCAACTCATTCAGGTTGCCGAGCACGTCGGAGGAGTGGCGAGTGAACTCGCGGACGTAGTCCAGCGCTCCCGCCGAAGTAGCGGTGGAATCCATCGCGACGCAGGCCTGCAGGTGCCAAGGAGAGGGCTCAGGGATCCAGGCAGTCCTAAGACGCCTTCCCTTCCGCAGTTTGCCTCTTCCTCCTGAGGCTCCGGCTCACGCAGCCTCATTTAATTCATTTTGTTTTTTCTGCCCACCACCGCGCCATCGCTGGCTTTTTTCCTCTAGATTTGAAGGTTCCCACACCGCGGCGTCGATGGCGAGCGTGAGGAATCCGGCCTGCAGCGCTCTTACTTCGACTCCTAGTGCTCTTCCAGCAGCACCCCCCCCGCCCCCACGCCCCTCTGCTTCAGTGCACGCCTGAGTCTTGGGTGTTCGACCCTGCCTGTAGACTTAGGATGACTTGCGGTCCACACACCTTCAAATCCCAGTTGAAGCTCCCTCCCCAAACCACGAATTCTACTACTATCTAGTTCCGGATCCCTAGCTTAACCCAATTTTGGGGCCTCAGTCTTCCTACCACCGTCAAGCCCCAACTCTCTTTGGGGACCCAGGAGTCTGGTTCCCTCAGTCTCCCGTTCTTACCCCCGTCCTGCAGGGGCTGCGGCTTCTCTTCTCGTGGGGGGCGGGGTCTCTCTCCCCTGTTGGTCTCGGCTCCTTTATCTGGCCGGGATGTCGGGGGCGGAGGTGGAGGTGGGGTGAACGCCTGGGTCTGTATCCTTCCTTCCTCGCTCTCCAGATGGCGAGCCCGGGGCGGGGTCTCCGGCTCTAGGGCGGGACCTCAGAAATGTTGGGTGGTCGTAACCTAAGGGGTCTTAAGTCACCGAAAGTAGAACCGAGATGGAACATTGGAATTGGAGAGAAGTTTGGGGATATAGAGATTGGAAATATAGGTGACTGGGTCATCGGTGTGGTGGGGCAGCTGAGATTTCGAAAATTAGTGTGTTGGCTTTTAGAAGGTAGTGTCAGGAGCCTGTTACAGGAGAATGAATAGAGCAAAATTCCCTTTCCAATGTACGCTATTACGGGACCTAAAGGGGAGCCCAACGAGGCACCAGGTTTGGGAAGGCGATAGTGGGCTCCTGTGGGGTCTCAGACAGCCGGAGGGGTGCTTTGAATGACAGGTTCCCCTAGCAGGGCATACAAAAAGTGGGGCTCTGACTGGGAGGGGGAGGGAAAGGGCGGATATGATTTCTAGTTCGTTTCCTTCCATTGTCCTGAGACCGGACGGCTCCGCCAGCTGCTTCCCCTGGAGGAGGTGGGGAAAGCCCCGGGTGGGAGCCGAGAGACGCTCAGGAGACCTAGGCGTCTAGACTCTTGCTCCCGACTCCCTTCTGAATCCTTTTAGGGATCCAAAGAGACAGACTCCCGCCCAAAGCCCGCTCGCCCTCCCCCAATCCCATCTCACCAGGGCCTCGGACACCCGCCCGTCGGCTACGCTTGGAGGCTGGCGGGACGCCGGGGTCCAGCGCGGCAAGTAGGCAAAGCTCGGCAATGTTTGACTCCTTCCACGAGGGGGCGGACGAGCACTAGCTTCGTCTCACCCCGTCTTCTCCACCCGGCGCGGGGTTCACTCAAATTGGGGCGCAGGATCGATTTGGTCTGGGCAGCTGAAACCTTCGTTCTCTTCCCCTTTGCGCTGATTTATTTTGCCCCTTTGTCTCCTAGGAGGGGTCTAGTGTTGGGCAGTGAGAGGGAGAGCTAGACGACAGAGGGGACTTTCCTCTGAGGCTGGGGTTCCTACCTGGAGTGAGAAATCTGCTGGCTTTAGGAGCAAGGGAACTGGGTGGAACAAGGAGTAGAGTCTGAGCCCTGAGAGCACAGGGTTTTCCTTTCTAATTAGGATAGATACTATTATCTGTCTTTAGAGGTGGATTTTTAGTGAACATTAATATTGGATAAGTTGGATAGGGTGAACAAAGAGAAGGGAAAACAGGGAGGGTCTCAGGGTAAAAACAGGGAGAGAAGGCCGGAGGGGCCTGTTAACTCTAATTTTAAGTCTCTGATCTGGGATATAGGCAAGGGTCGCACCTTTATATTTTGAGGAGACGTTGGATGGGGAGGAACAACGTTCATTTGGAGAAGGGAGGTCAGAGCTGAGTCCAGCTGCAAAGTAGGACTTGGATTTTGGGCTCAGGAGAGTCTCCTGTTGCCCAGGAATGATTGACTATTTTGATCCATGGAGCTGCATATCCAAGTCTAGGGCCCTCCCCTTCATATTCGAGGGGTCTTTATTTGAGTGCACAAAAGAATTGCTGAGGAACTAGGAATCGGGGACCACTAGGGATTTAGGATAATGAAGTGGCTTTTGCTTGTGAGTGTTACTTTGGTCTCTGCCCAGTTTGGAGGTGGGGATTTGACTAGAGGTTCCCTGTGGTATCAGGATGAAGTTAATTTTGTGTTATTTGGTCAATTGTGGAATGCATGTTTATTATGGGACGCTGAGTTAGTTTGATTGTTCTGGGCACTGGGGGCTGCATTCAGGTTTGAGGGCAAATGGTAAATTTGAGGCATGGAACTGATTTTGAAGCTATAGTAGTTCTGGGGATTCTGACACACAATTTGGAGATTATTATCTTGGAATATCAGGAGAACCTTGCTAAGTGCTATTCGAAAGGTGGATAAAGGTTTTGTTTTAGTGATTCATAGTCATTTGGTGTATATGGACAATCTGATTTCAAATAGTCATGCTGATTTGGGAGTACATTCTGTTTTGGGGTGCCATATAAGTTTTAAGGCTCAGATTAGATTTGGGGGGGTGTGACATTGAATTTGGAGTTTCTTATTAGCTTACGGTGGAACATCATAGAAACCTGGGAGCAAATTTGAAGGCCTATGATTATAGGTCCATGATGGGGAGCAAAGCGTTATATTTGAATGTTGTGGAAACTTACTTTGAGGAGGGGATATTCCTGTGTATGCATAGATAGCCAAGATGCTTTTTTTTTTTCTTGGCAGAGAAACAATGTGAGGGCCTAGGGTAGGAGACTAAAGTTTTGGGGTATCCTTATTTGGGGGCGTTTTGTCACTCTTTGAGTCCATTTGGTCAAGTTGAGGGATGGGTCATAAAGTGAGATTGACTTGGGGGGTCACTTAATTTGGAGCACAATGCTGGTTTGGGATGTCCCTTGCTTATATCTCCCTTTCACCCCAGATTCTAGGAATCTCTTTCTTTAGTGAACCCCAAAATATGACCGGGATTTTAAGGGAGAAACTTGGAAAGGGAATGTATTTCCTCATTCCTGGATAGATCCGAGGTAGAAAAAGTGGTTTTAGACTCTGAACCCTAAATTCTTAAGGAGCATGCCTTGTTTTGGGAAAATGTGGGGGGAAATGGGGTGTCTTATGGCTAAGTGGACACCCTGACTACAGCAGTGCTGTTGGAACTGTGGTGAGGAGAGGTGATGGTCAGTCAGGTACAAGGATGTGATTCTAGTACCCTGATTTTCTAGGATAAGAGCCCCAAACAGAAAGCAGACAGAGGATTGGGAGTATGGGTGAGATGGGGGGAGGGGTTCCCCACGGCAGCAGGGGCTAGGGGGTAAGCCAGGACAGCTCTGCACGCCTGGGTCCCTGCTCTCTTCAGCTCTCCTCCCCTCTCTCCCTCCCACCGCCCACCCCCCCAACCCAAGGAAAAAAACTGCCTGTGCAACAGCAATGGCAGATTCCAATCCTCCAGGCTTTCCTGAACCACCACGGAGACCAGCCAGGGGGGAGGGGAAGGGAGGATCGGGCTTTCCTGCTTCCCTAAGACTGGGGCTATGAGCTTGACCTCCTGGCCCCTAGCTCTTTGAGGAGTGCCTCCCCTCCCTGTCTGGAAGCCAGGTGTCCTGGACCCTAGCCCCCGAGCGGTGTGGGGGGGGTCTGGAGAGACGGGGAGGAGGAAGGAGGGAGTGACTTCCAAAATTGGCATCGGGACAGAGCAGGGCTGGCGGGAGGCAGGCGAAAGACAGAATTTTCCTGAAAAAACGGGGGTATCTGAGGACCCCAAATTTGGGGAGCTAGTCCAGGACTGTTCTGCCAACATCCTAGATTTTTTGGGGATTTTTTGGGGGCCCCGGGACCCCTCTAGATGGGGTGAGGAATGTAGTGTTGGGGGAATCTGACTGGGGCATTGCAGCTGCCTCTCCCGCCGAGTTGGAGACGGATGGGCTGGGACGGGTTTGGGGGGGTGTCCCCAATTCTGACTAGGAGTGGAGGAACCCCCTCCTGAGCTCTCTTGTGGGGGTCCCCCCTCCCTAGGGCACTCCCCACTCCCTGAGCCAGCCGAGAGGAAGGAGGCCAGCGATGCGACTGGGGTGGCTCCTTTCTCCTGCACCCCAAATGTGAGGGATGCACCCCAAATTTTGCTCCCTTCAAAATAGGGGACCAGGATCTCAGGGGAGAGTAGCTGAGGTAAGTGGGGAGGAAAGTGTCCCCTGTTTTCAGGAGAGACGTGGCGGTTGGGGGGGAGGTTTGGAGGTGCGTGCTTGGGTGGGGTTGGGCTTTGTCAGTCTTGGAACTGGGGGGATGATTGGAGAGGCTTTCTCTTATGCCCCTAAACTGCAGTCCCCCAGATAGAAACCAAAGGCTGAGATCAGAGGGCCCCCCAGCATCCCCAGCCGTTAGTATAGTGTTTGATTTCTGATTCACCCCCACAAAGGCTCTGCCGAGGATGGGAGCTGGGGGCAGCTATTCAGTTTGGGGGCTGTGGAGGGTGGAGTGAGGAGCAGGAGGCCTTGGCAGGATATGCTGTAGGACAGATAGGGGTTTCAAGGGAGGGGGTCCGGCATCCCCTGGGCCTAAAAAGACTGCTTACACCTACCATCTTAGATCTTTTTGATTGCTAAGAGTTTTGGGGGGTGTGTCGGAAGGAGGGTGGTAAAGGGAGGAATAGGAGATGGGAGGATACCTTTTGGGTTTTAGAGGATATTATTTTGATTTGTGGAAGGTATTTTGGCCCTTGGATTTTGCTTTCTGGGGGGTGCTTTTAAAAAATCAAGCCCTGGACAGGAGAAAAAGGCTGAAGGAAGGCCTACTGTGGGGGTGGGGAGAGGCATGTTTGTCTCAGCTTAAACGTGGCTTTCTGGGGTGGGCACGCCTTCCTGGACCTGGTGGATGGGCTGATGGGGATTGTTGCAGGGGGTGGGACTTTGGTCCTGGGGGCCATGGGAAATGGTAACAGCACTGGGAGTTGACTACCTGGCCCCCAGGTCCAAATGGCTCTTTTCCTGGGCCCTGCTGCTCCCCTTTTCCCCTAGCCTCCATTTCCTGCCTTTGGCCTCCATCTTGTGGCAGGCCCAGGGCCCAGGGCGACTTCCGGCCCCCCTCTCCCAACCATGTTCCGGCCCCACCACCTCTAGATTGCCAACTTCCAACCCTGCTGTCCTTGGCCTTGTCTCTCCTGGCTTTCTCTTGGGTTCTGACCCAGAGAGGGGAAGAACGGACACAGGAAGCCTTAGGTCCCTGCCCTTGCTGAGTCAGGAGGCAGTTCGTTGGTTCCCCATAGGCATTCCCTATTTCCTTTGCCTCTGACCCCACCCTAGGGATCCCCTGAGCAGTTTCTAGAAAGGGAAGATGGTTCCAGTCTTATTATATTGCAAACTCTTTATGTCCCTTTCCTTCCAGTTGCCTACTCAGCTATTAGCCCTGGTTTCTTGTTTTCCCCAACCAGTCTTGGGGCCATGTTTGCCTTTTATGCCTTCTCTATTTCCCTGCTCTTGGTGGTGGGGGTCTTCCTAGCACTGTCTTGTACTCCCTCTCAACCCACCCCAGTCCTGCTCCCGCCCCAGCAGCACACTGTGGTTTGTACGGCACTGTGGCCACGTCCAAACCACACTGTGGTGTTAGAGCGAGGGTGGGGGAGGCACCGCTGAGGCTTGGCCCCGGGAGGCCACCCTGGAGAAGTGACACAAAAAACATCTGGAGCCTTCTTTTGAGGTTGGGGATGGGGGCGGAGTAGGGAAGAGGGAGGTATGAAAGCACTAGGAATAGTCCCCCTAAAATCCCCAGGGCAGGCTCAGGAATAATGACTGCTGAGACCCTAGGAGTAAGTTCTGCCTCCAGAGAGCAGAGTGGAGTCTTTGTTGCCCATACCCAGCTCCCCTGGCTTTAGCAGCACAGAAATATTGGCACTGGGAAGAGAGTCTGCCAATATTGGCTGAGCTGCTCCAGGCAGGGTGGTGAGAGCTGCCCAGGAGGGGCTGAGCCCTTGCAGGGTAAGGAGAGAGAGAATGGCCCCTTGCACTCCAATGTTAAATGAAGGCACCAAGCTGAGAGGGAAATCTTTATTGTTTTCTGTATAAAAATGTCCATCAGATGGAGATCAAAGGGGTTGAAGGCAGATGCTTATACAGAAACAGCAAGGTGGGCAGCCCCAGCAGCCTTTCAACCCTCTCTCACGCAGGCTTTGCTCAGAGTCCCAGGCGATCCACAGGTCCAGGGTAAACAGCAAGTGGGGTCAGAGGTGGAAGGCTCAGTGAGAGAGTAGAGGAAGATCAGCAGAGGTCATGAGAAGGCCAGAATCCAGGGTCAGGCTGTCTGGAACAGGAAGTAAAATGGGCCGAGATGGAGAGAGCCCCAACTATGCTTCCAAGACAATTCTTGCCTCCCCAAAGCCCTGGCTCATTACTCACCCAACCCCCTGCCTACACTGTGAATGAGAGAACCTTTTCTTCCAAAGCCCCAGTACAAAGGAGGAGGCTCCTGCTGAGACCCTCCTCTACCATCAAAGCACTTCCTCCCCAACCCCATTTGCTGGTGTGGGAGGAAGAGGACTCCTACCCTGGTCGAAGTTGAGTTTCTTGGCTGGAGGAGTTTCTCCTAGCCCTTCAATATCCACCAGGTCACTGTTGGCGTCGGAGTCGTTCAGAGCACTCAGTGTCACATCTGGGAGGGAGGCATAAGCTAGGTTCTAGGTTCCCTGACTGCCGCCCTGGCTTCCCAAAGCTTCAAGCTCTTCCTCCCTCCCCTACCCCAGCCACTCTGGGAACCTTCACTGGGAGTGGAAGAGAGATTTGTCCTTCTTTAACCCAAGCCCAATTCAATGAACCTCAGATGAGACCTTTAACCACTAGGCAGCAACTCCACAGCCCTCACCAGCTTTCTGTTTCTTTATGGGGGGACCGGCATCAGGGACACTGGAGCTGCTTGGTGGAGGGGCAGTAGGAGGAGGCGACAAGACACCAGATGCCACCTTCTTGGGACCCTTCTTGGGTGACTCAGCTGGAAGAGGGATACCAGAGTCTTCATATACCTTGCGCTTCACGGTGGCCTTTATCTGAGCCCTAAAGAGATAAGAGGGCAGGTCAGGAAGGGAATCATCAGAGAGGCTGAGGGAAGAAGGGAGGGGAGGGATAGGGGTAAGGGGCTACTCTGAAGGAATACTGGGGAGCCCCTTCAGAACCTGGATAAGAATCTAAGTTAGAGCCCCCACCCTGTGGTAGGGTTCTTATTTTCCTGAAGCTTTCACTCACTTAGGGCAGATGGAGTGTGAAGAGTGGACTTCCTGAACTGAGTAGTGGGAAGGGCCCATGTCCTGATTCTTTTCTGGGAGAGATGTCTGGATGTTGAAGGCTACCAGGTAAGCCTTGGTGATCTATAGGTACCTTCTGATCAACTACTTCAGAATCACAATATCCCTGCAAACACTGCAGTAGTCTTAAAAGATCTGTATAAATAACCAGGCAAATCTCATCAAATTAAATTACTGGATATCTCAGGCAACCTAAAAAATTCTTGGAAGGTCCTGATTACCTCAGCATTTTTAGTAACTTCTGACCAACTGTGACAACTCTTTTATCCTCAGTCCTTAAGGGGATGGTAACAAAACTAGCAACAAAGTAGGAAAGATGTTGAGCTGGGAGTTCTGAGAAAGATGTAACAAGGGGTATTAAAGAAGAAAGCTGCCCACCTCCCCCTCTTTCTCTACCAGCCAACCCTCCCTCACACTGTCCGTTCCTTGATGACACAGCTGATGTGATTAAGATCGTCCCCAAATCGCTTCACAGCAGCCCTCAGCATCTCTATCTCGGTCTCCGTCCACTTGGCACTGTCAGAAGGGGAGAGGGAATAGCGAAAGTGGAAAGAGAGGGGTGTGGAGCCAGCCCCCAGGCGATGCATTCCACGACAACCAGCCTCCTCCCCCCAATCCCTGGGGTCCCTCCCATGGATCCATAAAAAAGCTCTCCTTTAATTAAAACAAACAAAAAAAAGCTTTTAAGACCCCGTGGACCCCCAATCACATATTGCGACAACTGCCACCTTATAATAAAAACCTTCCCCATCAACTTGAAACAACAGCTCACTGAAACTAATTCAACAAGTAGGGGGTCTGATAAACAGAAACCTTGAACACAAGTCTGCAGCAGTCTGCGAGAATTCCACAATTTTGTAGGTGGGGAGTGATGGTGGTCTATGGTCTGCGGGTTCGCAGTAAGGTAGAGCTGTGAAATGAGTCCGGGTTATGAGCATCAGTCTGATTTTATCTGTCATTTATTCAACTATCATTTATTAACTCTTACTCTGCGCTATGCCAGGCACAAAGGCAAACTAAAACTAACATCTGTCCCTGCACTAGAGAGTGTCCGTGTCAGTGATCGAGTCTAAGCGTCCGCGCTCAGCGTCCACGTCTCAGTCCGGGCTCACGTACCCCGCGGGGGAAGAGTCGGCCACCGGATGCAGCTGCATCGTCAGCTCCCCGAGCTTCGTAAAGGCGGCACCCGCGGCGGAGAAGATCTCTCCAACCTGGGGGCGGGACAGCATTATGGGGGGCCGAAGCATACCCCTGCGCCATCCGGCCGGGACGCCCTAGCTCCACCCCAGGTTCGCCTCCCTCCCGGGGCGGAAGAGCCGGGAGCCAACTGGGGGACCCCACCCTCCCGTGGCCGCCAGGGAGCGCTGTCCGCGTGGGAGGTCGAACCTTTGTGGACGCTGACGTCATGGCCTCGCGCGCCTCCGCACAGAGACGCCGCCGCCGCCGCCGCCGCTGCTACCACGGAGCCGGGACCACGGAGAGCAAGCCGATCGAACGGCTCCAAAACGCGCAGGAAGTCCCGCCCCTCTTCATAGCTGATTGGCTCACACTCGGCCGCTCAGCGCCTCACCGGCCGCAGTTATTTAGGCTGCCCCAGCGCACTGAGGGGAGAGTGGAAGACATCGCCTCACTTCCGGCTCGGCTTCGCTCCACTTCCGTCGAGGTCGAGGGGTCGGGACTTTGGAATCTGATCTCCAGCCACTATGCCCGCCCCCCAGCCCAAGCACAGACACAAAGAATGAGAGCAGTTTCTCTTTATTGTGGTACGGGACAAGGTGAGGGGGCCGGAGGAACAGGTGACAGCCAGCCCCAGCCTCCCTCCACGGGGGCCGGGCGCCAGAGATTAGAGAAGAAGGGTTTCAATCTTCAGGGAAACCACGTCTCGCAGAGGGCGCCATAATGGAGGGTCAAGAGAGGGAGTGGGGAGTCTTTAAATAGAGGAGGGGGTCGAAGAGGGTAAACGCGATCGTGCTTTAACGCACCATATATTCCTTGCGCTTATTGAGCCGAACTTGACAGAAAGAGAAGCCTCCGAGGAGGAGGTAAAGGCCTGCAGCGATGAAACAGTTGTAGCTGACTTGCTCGTAAAGGTTGTATATGTTCTGCGGGCCATTCCTAGGGGTGAGGATTAGGCAGAGATGTCAGAAACATTAATAGTCAACATTTACCGAGCACTTCCTACGTGCCAGGTACCAAGTGCTTTTACGTGTATTACCTTATTCAATCTCCGCCCATAGGGTGAGTTCCATTATAAGCACCCACTTTGCAGAGGTGGACGGAGGCACAAAAAAGTAAAATACGTAAAGAAGCCACACCTGCAGTGGTGAGTTTAGGATGGCCGCTGAGGTCTGACTTCCAAGACCAATCCTAATTAAAGAGCAGTTCTCTGCACCTAGTTCCCTAGCCTTTGGACCCCACGCATCCAGCCTCTTGCAATTACCCGCCCATAATTCTGACCACAGGCTGAGCCACCTCCCGCCTGCCCCCCGCCTCACCTCTCCCACCTGACAACTTACTCAAAATCTTTCTCCGTGAAGGGAACGTCCTCAATTAGCACAGCAGAATGGACGTTGAAAAAGATTCCAAGCATAATCTGAAAAATGGGAATGGAATGGGTAGGTTTTGACCTCGAGCACTTGACTAGTTCACTCCCTAAACGTCCACTTCTAGTGCTGTCACATCTGGGTTTGAGAATTACCAGAATGAGCTAGGATTAGAGGTGGCTGTCGCTGGATTCGGACTGAGTCACCTGGAACAGCGTGAGGTGGTGACAGAGACGACTGGGTCAAGGGCAGGAACAGTGAGCAGCCCAGGAACCCAGTCCATCCTCCTCCCCAGAGGCGTCATTATCACGGGACAGGGTAAAGGGGTGAGGGGAAATCGGCACTTCATATTATTTCTTCTTGGAGTGCGGCGGATAGAGCCCTGGGGAAACAAGGCCCTAGCTACTCATTTCGGGAACTAGCACTCCCTTTTCTCACAGCCGTCCATTCAGTTCAAGCATCTCTCAAGAATCCAGCTCTTCCTCTTACCTTGAGGGGTCTCCAAATTTACTAGCTCCCATTCCAAGCTCCAGATCCCTCCTCCACTACCCGCCCCGCTCCAATTTCCTATTTCTAATCTCAGTTCTGCCTCGTTCTCCAGCGGTTAATCAACGACTCTCTGCTTGTTGCTTTCTAAGGCCTGGGGTCTCCTAGTCTTCCAGCCCTCCAACACCGAGGCCCATCAGGCCCTCTCCGGTTCTCGCCGGTCAGGACCCTCACCAACATGATCACTCCCCAAGCGCTGAGGACGATACCGCAGGCGGCCAGCTTGGGCCCACAACACAGAAGCGACGCCATGAAGAAGGGAGTCGGGGATCGCCTAGATAAGGGCCGAGTGGAAAGGCGGTGAGAGGAAGCCCAAAAGGGCCAGAAGGGGAAAGAGAGATGGACTCGGGGGCTCGCGCCGCAGAGGACCGAAAGACTAGAGGGCAGCCAGAGGGCGTGGCCTCTGGCCCCAACCATCGCGTAGGGGAGCGCCAGGAGAACGCTGGATCCGCGTCCTCGCGAGGCCTCGTGGGAAAAGGCGGTGTCTAAACCAAAGCAGCCCCTCGGAGTCCCTTATTGACCAATGTAGCGAGTATTGCAGGAGCAAAGGCCTCCTGTTTCTTGGACCCTCGCCCCCTCCAGGTTGGAATGGAAAGAGCCGGCATATCATGTGACCAATTTCCGCAAGTCATATGACGAGGAACAGGCTCTAGCCGGTGGTTTGGAAAGATTCTAAGTCTTGGCGGAAGGCCTGGGAATCTGGGGTCCCCAAACCCTGGCCATAGACTAGTACTGGTCCCTGACCAGTTAAGAACCCAGCTGCACAGCAGGAGGTGAGTGGGGAGCAGTTGAAGTGCTAGCATCACTGCCTTAGGTCATCAGGCATTAGATTCTCATAGCACCCATCTCTGGTGCCAAAGGGGTTGGGTACTCCTGCTGATAACCTTGGCGATGAGCTCTTAGCAGCAGAGGATTGAAACTACCTGATTTTTTCCCTCGCATTATAGTTTCAGGTGGTATCCTGTGACGGTAAGTGATACATAGAGATTTACACAGAGAGGAAGGCCTCTCCTCTCCCCTCATCTCTACCTTTTAAAATAGATATTCTGACAGTAAAAGGAAATAGGAGACCCTTCCCTAGGGGCCAAGCATACTGTTGTGGCTAGAATGCTTTAAGATTCTGGAGGGTTCTTGGCACTGGAAATACTTAAATAACGTTTTGTTATCTGAATAGTTTTTGATGCTAAGTTCAGGAAAAATACGGACGTAAGGAAAAGTCCAGGGAAAGCAGATTCTGAGCAGTTATGAGAGTGGTCTTGCTAAATGTACTAGAGAAAGGAATAATACACAAAAACGTCATTTTGCTTCCCTACGGTAAACTAAAGAAAGGGAGTATAGGTCCTTTGAGTAAGGCGTGGTACAAGATTTTAAAAATATGCATAGATCATCCTCTCCAAAGAAAACGTTCATATACTTCACTGATGACAGATTTGTAATAATTATTCAGGGAAATAGGGGTGTGTAAAAAACACAATTTTGCGCTGAGCTTGTTGTGTTTAGTCTGGTGAGGACAGTGATGATAGCATAATTGAGAGGGGTCATTTCGATTTCAGAATGAGATAAACACTGTCGTTAATGGTTAGCATAACTTTGTGGTATTTTAACATTTATTTTGTGCACATTGTTCTGAAAGTGTTGTGAAAGAATTTGGAACCTGGGAAACACATAGAGACTCCAGCATACTAAAGGGGCTTGAGAGATGAGTTTCATGTGTCTTTTTGAGACTGTTTGGGGAAGAAAGCCATTTGGGGGTGAAGGTTTTTTTTATTCTGCTCTGGGAGCACTATTCTTATTCTTGGAATTTTGGGGGTAGATGTGTGAAGAGGAGGAATGGGGATGGAGGGAAAGTTTCCAGAGAGTCAGGAATTTTTAAGTTTGCCATTAAGCATGAACTCTAGTTCTTGGGAAAGGAGAATTAGTTGAAGTAGTTCATTTGTCTAAGAAATCTTTCTTGCCTATTGCTGAGAGCATTCTCTGGATGTTTGCAAGTAGGGTCAGGCTAGAGCAGGGTACCTTGTGCAGGTACTGCCACTGGGGGCCAAATTCAGCCTGCAGTCTGTGCACATCCCTCTGGCAAAGCACAGGTTTTTTGTTTGTTTGTGTGTGTTTTGCATTTTTAATTAGTTGACTAAACCAAAAGAATATTTCATGACACCTGAAGTTCACATTTCATTGTCCATGAATAAAGTTTTATTGGAACACAGTCACACTCATTCATATTCATATTGTCTGCGGCTGCTTTTCTCTATAATGAGAGAGTTGAGTAGTTATGACGAAGATGGTGTGCCCTACAAAGCCTAAAACTTTATCATCTGGCTTTTTTATAGAAAAGGTTTGTAGCCTCCCTGGACTAGTGGGATACTGACATAGGGGATTTAGTTGGGGGAAGAAATAGAGCCCTAGCAGCAGAGACTTAGGAATCTAGGAAATTCAAAATGGAAATGTCAGTCCTAGAGCTGATCTGAAGTTTTCCAGGCCAGGGTCGGGGGTGGGGGGTGGCGGCGGTAGAGCTCAGATGGTGATACTGTTCTCTATGTGGCTGGGCTTCAAGTATTCATAGGGCAAGTCAAGTTGCTCATTCCGGGCTGTAATTTCCCTTTCCAAGTTTTCCAGATCTGTTTGGAATTGGTTTAGTACAGCCTTGGCCTTGGGGCCTGAGAAATACTTTTCTTTGTGATGCCCCAGAGGCACCTAAGAAAGAACAAAGAATCAGTGTCAAGTCTGAAGGCAGAAGAACCTAGAACTTAGCCCCTCACTCTGATGTTTCCCTTCCAACTGTCAGTTCTTTTCTTCAGAATTCTCTCTTACCATATCTGGCTGGCGTCGACCCAGATGCCATGTGATGGTCATTTGAAGACAGCTCTGTTGGACATCAGGTAGTGAGCCCATCACTGTGGCCATTGTCACATCTTCCTTGGTAGTGGGTGGGGGCATCCGCATTGTGCATGGGGCATTAGGGACCCAGGCATACCACTCTAGCTGAGAAAGAAAGTACAACCCTAGTATCCTGGTACTTAGGGTTTGAATCCCCATCTCTCCTTTTGGCATCCCAAAGTCTAGACACTTGCTTTCAGGGTCCCAGGTTTTCAGCTAGTCATACCTGGCCTTGATTGATGGCCCCATGCTGGGCACTGCATGTGAAGACACACATGGTAAGGAAATGGCAAAGTTGATTCTGGGACTGGAAGGAGACAGGGAAACCTGGACAGGAAAGGAACAAATTTAGCGACTACAGCATGAGAGGAGATAAACAGAGGCTGATGTCTTGGGATATCTATATTTTGGAATTGATGGGTCTTTGTTCATTTATTCAAATATATTTGCATCAGACATGAATTTCAAATTCAGGCTTAAGTATTATAGGTTAGGCTAATTCCTTAACCTATCTGAACTCAATTTCTTTACCTGTAAAATGTGGATGATATCTACCTTATAAATGAGATAATGCATCATAATTACCTGGTACTCAGTAAATGATAATTATTGTCATGGAAGGTTTAGAGGCTGAAAAGTTCAAGTTATCAAATATTCTCTGCCTTAAAAAGTGGTTAGAATTTAGGGCTGCTTCCTCCTATTCTCAGGGAATTACAAATGCCTGAGTTATAAGGTAAGGAATAAGAGAAGTCAAAGATTTCTAGTGTCACAGCCAAGAAAGGCTTTCCACAAAGGTTGCTCAGGCCACTCATTTTACAGTGGAGGTGGGGACTCAGAGACCCAATAACCCTATCTGTTAAGTGGATCAAATATAATTACTCCTTTTTTATAGATTTAAAAAAAAAAAAAAATCAAAGACCAGAGAGATTAAACCGCTTGTAAGGACAGATAGTTGGAAAAAGGCAGAAGCTGACCTTGAACTCTGGTTCCTGACTGCTATTTTTAATTTTGGCACATTTTCTCTAACAAGTCTGCTAGGAAAATTAGGCAAAGGTGAGCTATGAGAACTGAGGGAGAGAGAATGATAGGCAGGTAGTAGAGATTAAAGTTAACATGTGAATGTTTTATTTTCCAAATGTAGTAGATGCTGGTTGGGGAAATATTGCCAGGTGAGGAAGAAGAGTCTTTTGGGGACATGTGGAGCCTAAGGGACAGTACTGAGATGTCCTAGAGAAGTTTGGTCTTGGAAGGGTGGGAGTGGTACAACCTCAGATTCCCCAGAGAGAGGCTTCCCCAGAATGTAGGTGTGGGTTTATTGCTTGCTGTATTTCCAGAGCCTAGCCATAATGGCTCCCTAGTAAATGTCTTTTGGCAGCAACGTTAGTGTGAAGTGTGAGAAGTAGGTACCAAAGGACGATTTGAAGCAGTCCCGGCTGGCCCGTGTGTGTGTGTGAGAGAGGAGGTGAACCTAGAAAAGTTCAAGAAAGGCTGTTGCTTCCCCAGCTGTTAAATGTGGGTGGGGTTGCTAAAGCTAGTGACTAGATAGATCCTAAGCTAGTGGCTAGATCCCACCAGGGGTGGGAAGAGGCTGGATTGGTCAAAGGAGCATGAGCTCCATGGGACAGCACCGAGTTTGGGTTTGAGCCAAAGCATGTATAGTACTGAGTTTGTACCTAGAAATGACCTTGTACTGTGCTAAAGTGTACAGTATGCTTAGACCCTCTGTGGGTGCTGGATAGTAGCAGGAAGAAGAGAGGAAAAACAGTGAGTTATTGTGGGCTTTGGTGGAAAAATCTTCCCATTCGTATCCTCAGGTAGAAAAGTAAACAATCACGAAGAGAGACTGTGAGCCCCAGTGGTGCCTGGGCAGATCCCTCACTGGCTATGGTTCTGGACTCACTGGGCCTCATGCTATGGCAGGTTGGGGGCATCTGTGACTAGGTGTGGAAGATAGACAAAAAGGCTGATGGCCAGGGTCTCTGAGAAGGAGAATCCTTGGGTATCTAGAATTGTCCAGAGTCTTAGGAGGTGGGAATGGGATCCAGATGCTTCATGTATGGAGGGAGAGCGGGTGAAGAGGGGTTGGTGTCATGTCCCCAGAAGGGCAAGGCTGAGAAGGGGCTCTGGACAGAGTGTCCGATGAACCCCCTTCTCTGGGGAGGGATCTCACCTCGGTCTTGGGCCTGGCACAGCCCAACCTCAGTGATCTCTCGACACCAGGCCTGCAGCTCAGGGTCACCTCTTACGACATCATCCCCATGGTAGAAGAGGTGGACAATCTCCTCCACATATCTGCCCAGAGGAGAAGGGAGCTGAGCCCCTTGAGAGTAGAAAGCTGTAGCCTCTAACCTCTGCTCTGTTTCTGTGGTCTCTGTCCAACAGACTCCCATTGTGTCTGAGTATAGATCCTTCCAGACTTGCCTTTTGAGACATTCCCCAGCTCTTACTACACACTAGAGTAGAAAGGAGTAAAATGTGGTCATTAGTTCTAGGAATTCTCTATACATGGTTGATAGTCATCCTTCCTGACAAAAGTCCTGATTTGTCCAGATCCCTCAGTCTCCCCCATCCACAGCTTTCTTGGCCTAGGCTCTTTACCCCCATCTCAATCTCTTCCTTATTAGACCCTATCACTGACTCCTCACTTTCTTCATCTCTCCCAGGATTGAATCCTCTGCTCCACTTCCCCTGTCTGGACCTTTTTTGTTTCATGTTCCTTTTGTTCCATGCTGACCTCAGCCCAGAGCTCCACTCTCCCTCTCCCCAATTACCCTCCATTTCTCAGCTCCCACTCTCACCCACCGAGCAATGACCTTCCAGAGCCGTAAAGCATCATGGGCATAGAGAGCACTTGGGATTCCCAGTAGGCCCCGGTCAGCGAGATCATCAGGAGGACAGAGGGAGCGGTAGGTCAACTGAGTCATGGCCCGACGAAGCAACTGCACATGGCCCCCTCCACCTGTGCTGACTGCCTGGGACAAGAGAGATGAGAGGCCTTGAGGAAAAAGGCAGAGCATAGTATATAAGTGGTTCAGATGTGGAGTTTTCACATTTAAAGACATCAGTATAAAGGGACAGCCTCCTGGGTTTAAGGGTCAGGGCATTCACACAGGTTGGTCTGGAGTCCTGAAAGTGGCAGGAGATCATAGAGAGTTCGATGATTAGGTGGCCTCACACCCCATTACTTCCTTACCTTATCAAATATACCTCCATCTGAGATGAGTTGGGTCCGTGCCCGGCTGTTGATCTCCATGGTGTAGCGAATGTGTGGGATCAGGAGCTGGATGGAGAAGATTGGAGGGGGTGGTTAATGGAGACTGTGCTTGGGTCCTTCCTTATTAGGGAGTGGCATCCAACATGTTGGACTTCTCTCCTCTTGATGCTTTTCTCCCTGTCAGTGCCTTTGCAGGCTGGTCTCCTTCTGCTTCTCTGATCATGTAAGCTCACACTCTTTACTCCCCTGTGAGTCAGGCTCTGGAGCTAGACTGACCTGGGTTTTAACCTATACTTTGCCACTCACTTTGATCCTTATCCAAGGTAATGGACCTTCTAAGGGTTAATCTGTCTCATCTCTTGTCTGTCACCTCATCTGTCTCATCACCTATGTAGCATCTCATCTGTCAACAGGGTGATGCTTACGTGAGTGATATATGAAGAGGTTTTAGTACATACAGAAGGCCTCAAGTCACAGCTGTTATCATTTATCTTCGTTATTTCCACCTTGCGTGTAGGTAACTTTAAGAATCAGCCCCTCTTGATTTTCTTTCATACTTCTATCATGTGTGTCCTCATAGCTTATATTTTCCTCTCTATTCATTATCAAAGCCACACCTTCATCTTCTGGTCACTTCACTGTTGTTTTGGGGGGGGGGCGGATGGGTACCTTTAGTCAGAATAAGAAGAGCCACATTGAGCTACCTTCTTAAGCAGCAGAGGGGTTGTCATTGAATCTGCCCCACCCCCAATTACGCAGTTAGGCTCCCTCTATTTTTAATAGCTTTTTAAAAAATAACTTTCCTTAGGTAGTAAAAAAGGCCACCTGATAAATCACATACACTTTTTTTTTTTTTTAATCTCAGACTATTTTGTCTTCATTTCCACCTGGTTTATATACAGGTTTCATGCAGTGTTGGTATTTATCTGAGTTGTTGATACTGGACACAGAAAGCGATGCAAGTGAGACATCTGGTGTCAGAATGGCAAAGCAGCTTACATTAGTCTTAAACTTTTCAGATAGTTCATGAAAGATGCTGAGCGTCATAGCCCAAAGTCCACAAGAGGAGAGAAGACACCCGAGGAGAAACAACTCCTAATAATAGTAATAATAATTGTAAGAACTAATGGTTTTTGTAGCTTTGAGATGGTGTCACATTATGTCACTTTGATTCTTCAGCAGCCCCACGATGGAGCTCCTGCTGTCCTCATTTAGAGATGAGGACATTGAAGCAAGCATCTGGTAAGTACCAAGATCAGGATTCAGGAATCCAGCCCCGGCAGTCTGAATCCACAGCCTGCACACATAACCTTTATGACATTTGCAGGTTCTCTTGTGTGTCCTGATAGCACTCGGGTTTCCTATGTACTGAAGTTGTTTTCGATTAGTGGATATAGGTGGGGAAAGGGATTAACTAGTAAAGGGGGATTTTAAATGTGAATAGAGGCTTAACCTTTTCAAGATGAGCAGAAGATGGTGATGCAGGAGCACCATCAAATAAGTAAAATCCAAGATTCTATTAATCACACAGGTCTCCATCTTGTCTGTGTTACCCCAGACTCAATCAGGCCATAGCTACCATTGGCCAGGCTTGGGAGGTTGGGGTGTAGGCCCCCAGCTTGAAACACTGTTCATTTGTTCTCCTTACCAGGTACTTAGTGCTTATCTTGCCAACATTTCAAACTCCATGGACCTAACACCGAATGCCTCATGTTTGCTTCCAAACTGGCTTCTTCTCCTGCTTGGCTGTTTTTGACAGTTGCTCTAGTTCATAAGCTTTTATCAGTGTTGTACCTTTTCTGCTATGTTCCCTATATCTAAAGTGTCATCAAGATTTTGAGATCATTTTAAAGCAAGCACAAGTCTTATTTTGCTGCTTTCTTCTGCCTAGCAGTAGATACTGAACTCACTTCGTTATAAAATTATAACACGCCCACCCCATGGGCTCTTAAGTGTTGCAGAAGCTTAGACCTCTGACCTTTCTCTCTCTAGTCTTATTCCAAGGCATGTGCACCTGCTATTTCCCCCCTTTATCAAGTCTTTGATTTCCTTTTCATTACTGTCCCTGCCTTGCATGTCTTTTTCCTCCTCTTTGCTAAGTAGGTAGCCTGCTCTCCTTGCCTTGATCTGTTCATACTTAGCGGATTCCTCTGTTGAGACAGGACATTCTCCAGTCACTACTATAGTGCTTATAGGGTGTTTCTTGTAATTTCAAATTCTAGTTCCAGATATTGTTCTCTGGTTGGTGATTATGGGCATCACTTGTCCTCCTAGCTAAATAATAAATCTCCTAAGGCAGAAGCAAGGCTTTTTGTTTTACTAACAATATTCTAGCAATACTCCAGGCCCATTGCTAGATTGTCAGATCTCTGGAATTTCAGAAGGTTTCCTTATAATAAGGCCTGAAGAAACATTAAGTGACTTGACTCAATTAAAATACAAGTCTTAAGATATTGATACAGTCTTCCTTCTCATCTCCCCTCTTTCTTTCACAAATTGATATAATTTTTGCTGCTGCAGTATCATTTGATATTGGCAATTTCCTCTCTCGGGTCTGAAGGAGATGGGACATGGAAGGCAGAGGATTTACCTTGAAGACAGGGTGCAGTCCTGGGAGGCACCTCATGGTGGCAACAGCAACAACTTCAGCCACCAGATGAGTGTTCAGCAGATGGTATTGGAGCTGGTGCAGTTGAAAATCTGAAGTTCGGACCCAGGACTTTGCCAGGAGCCAGGCAAGTGGAGGATCTGAGGGCAGGAACAGTGGTGGGGTGGGGAAGCTGGGGCTGGGAGGCTGGATCTAGGAAAAAGAAATTAAGCATTTATTGAACTCCTACTTTATGTATGACATTATGGTCAGCCTTCTTGGAGGAAAAAGAAGAGTAAGTAAGATTATTATTTTCCAGGAGGTTATAATCTAGTAGGAGGAATGAGGACCCTTCTACTTTGCATCTCACTAGCTGTGGTGCCATGTGAGTGCCATGTAGTCAGGTTCAAAGGAGGAGAGATAGAAGCAAGCGTCCAATAAGGAGATCCTAACAGTGGTCTGGGAGAAACATGATGGGAATCTGAGTTAGGGTGAGAGAATGAAAAGGAGAAGCTGGATATGTGAGTGACTGGGTTTGCTCACTGACTGTTGAGAACTTTGAGATAAAAGATATTCAGGAGACAATGGGTATTTAGAGTCAGAGGCTACTGAGAGATTATATAGCAATTCTCAACATGTATTTCCAAACTAGCAGCATCAGCATTACTTTGGAACTTGTTAGAAATGCAAATTCTCAGTCTCCACCCCAGATCTACTGAATCAGAAAATCTGGTAGTGGGACCCAGCAACTTGTGTTTTAACAAGCCCTTTAGGCGGTTCTGATGCACACTAAAGTTTGAGAACCACTGGGTATGGGATGAGAACTCCAAAAGGCCATTATGACTCTTGAACAAGTACTTCCAGTTGGGTGAGTCAGGGGAAATCAGGCTGCAAGCAAGGAGTGACATGAGGACATGTCTCCCTGCATGAGGATGGAATTTGGGAGCCAAGAGCCAGGAAGCTGGGTTCCTGGGTCCCAACCCAGAGGTTGAGTTGAACATAGAGCAGAGTTGGAAGGGGGAATGCCCAGAGCACCTCACCTGGATGACCAGGGGTAGCAGCTTCCCACTAGGTTCCATCCTCATCATGACGAGAGGGGCAGCCAGATACTGCTTCTCTCCTCTGATCACATTGGCTGGAATTCCATCCAGCAGGATAAAGTCAGCTTCAAACAGGGAATTGTTCTAGGGAAAGGAGAAATGTGTCCGTGATTATTAGAGTTCAACCCTCAGAGGGCCAGGGCAAAGTGGGGAAGACATTTAAAGACATTTATCTAGCTTCTTGCCATCATCCTATATCAGCACTAAAGTCCTACTGGCAGAACCAGAGCATCTAGTCCATTCCTCTCCTTTTAAAATAATGAAGAAACAGCCTAGTGTGGGTTGATGCCTTGTACAGGATGTGTGATAGCAGATCTGGGTTTAGAACCAAGCTCCTCAGTCCAATTTGCATTATAGGCATTATAAACTCTTCTTGTCAAGATGGCCAGGCTCCTTCCCCATCCTCCAGGGCTCTGCTCCCTGTGTTTGGCTCCCACCAGCTCAGCAAACACTCTTGCATTCCCTGTCCAAATCTCACCTCCTCTGCCAAGTAATCTACAGAGGTTCCCCTGACTACTATTGCCACCGAATCCAAACATGCATGTGTGTGGACATGATCACATCCAGCTTGCTCGTCTGCCTCACATCCAGCTCATCTTTTCCAAACCCAGCCCTCCTCCAGGAGAGCTCGCCAGTTTTCCCCACCTGATGGTGCTTCATCTTTCTCCCTGCCCTTGAATACTGGTGTTGGGAGCAATGACATCAATCCGGGAATATCATAGTCCCTGCTAACATCTCTGGCCCCATCTACACTCTGGGAATCCATGCTGGCAGCTCCTCATCATTTCCCCTACATTATCATCTCTGAGCTTTTTCAGCATAGGACTCTGCACCAAAAGACAGTGGTTTATCACAGTCTCTCTTCCCTGACTCATAGTTGGTCCCTCCCCTTCACCATTTCTCCTCCCCACACAGCCAAAGGGAGAACAGTGGAGGGTAGGAAGAGGTACCTGGAGTTCTTTCTCCAACTGGGTCTGAAGCTCCTCCATTCCTGAGGGCAGCACTAGCCGGGAGGGCAGAGAGGTGGAGCGTCTCAACAGCATGGGGTTGGCACCATTGAGGAACTGGTAGCCAAAAAACTCGTCATCCTGCCAGCACTGGCGAACCTTCTCTGTGGGGTCAGGGTGGCAGGTAGGAGGATATTCACCATAATCCAGTGTACCTCCTCCAGGCTCTACCACAGTGATTCAGGCAGATGACCACCCTGTATCCAGCCCCCCCCGCCTTTTTTTTCTTGAAGACTTTTCTGAGATAACCAGGAACAATAAAGTCTCATCTGGCAAGGAGTTATGGGGGACTGTGGAGTGTGAAGGGCAGGTCATCAAAAGGGGCCATCAAGGGATTATAGAGACCTGGGGGAACCACTGACCAGCCAGGGTGCTCTTCTGGCCCCAGAAGATCTGATCAAAATCCTCCAGGTGCTTCCAGGAGCTCAGGAGGGTGTAAGCACGCTTAAGCATTATCTCCAGTTTCCTAGGACAGGTATCAAGGTATGAATTCATTTGCTGATTCCTCAGCCCCTCACCATTTACAACCATCCTTAGATCTCCCTTCCTTTATTCCACTCTGAGCTCTGGGCTTTTCCTCACCCTGCCTTCAGTGTCCATTCAAAGTCCAGCCTCTTCTCCTCGCAGAATCTCATATTTAGAGGTAGATCATCCTCACAGCCTGCAGCTATCGTCAGGGGTAACCCTTCCTTCCAGGTGGCCCAGCTAGGAAATGGGGACAAGGCTCAGGGAGGGTGTCCAAGTCAGTGATGTGGGCAGGGTTAGGAGAGGGAGGTACATCTTGGGGGCCTAATATGGATGGGTAGTCACCAGTATGTCTGTCGTCTTTCCTTCAGTTCCTTCTCTCGATGCTTCTGGAACACATCCAATGCATTGTCTCCTGCCAGGCGGGCTGGGGAGGCAGTAAGACTATTGGCCACACAGTTTTGTGTGATCCTATGCTTTCCCCTGCTTGTCCTCACCTTCCTTTTCATAGGCACAGTCCATGTGTTCATTTGTGCTGTTGCTTTTATCTCTGGCTTTGCCTCATTTCATTGATTCTCAAGACACATTTATCTCATCTTAGCCAACCTTGCACTCCTGATTTCACTTAGCCCTCATCTCTTGCCTTGGGACAAAAATGTCATTTTTGCCACCCTTTCGTGTCCCTTAACTCATCTTTCCCTACCTGATCCTGTTTCATCAATATCTATGATTGGATAAATCGCCTAAATGAACGTGATAAAATCTTAATCACTCCTTTGCCCCCACTTATGTATACTATATATTGTTTTGGCGCATTTCACTTCTTGAACCTCACCTGCCACACCTTCAACTGTCCTCAAAGCTCTGTTTGCTTTCTTTAACTGACTTCATCTTAGACTTACCATTATAATCTATATTTACTGACTTCTTCCTGCTCTTACAGTACTGATACTCAGCTATCTATATTTAATGTTTCCATCCTTTCTGTTCTTGTACTCCTTTGTCTCTATATTCGTTTTTCTTATTTCCCACAGTAACTGATTCAATATTTGCTGTCCTCATTCATCCCCATCCCTGCCCTCACGGTTGTCTCCATGTTTTTCAACCACAGCACCTCCTGTGTCATACTGTTTGCTTCCCTTAACTGTCTCCTCTCAAGTATCACCCACCATCCCCTATTCTATGTGCTACCCATACCTGTCCCTGCCCTGACTTGTTCCCAGTCACATACAGAACTCCTTTCAATGTTTACTCTGATGCTTCAATTTTCCAGCATTGCTGCAACTCCCATTTGTCCTCACCTTCTTAGGTAATGGGATCTACACATCACTGATTTCTCTGTCCAGTCCCACTTCCAGCCTTTTTAATTCTATGTATAACTTTGGGACTTTATAACTTTCCTGCGTTTTCTGCCTTCTCCACCCTTAACCTAATGAGCACCCACTTTTTTCAAAGCCCCTCTGACCTTCCTCACTGCTACGCCCTCCCCTCCCCGCCGTAGTCCTGATGCCCAGCTCCCATGTCCCGGAAGTGGCCCCTCACCAGTGCCCTCCGGCAGGCTCAACACGCCTTCGCCCTGCACCCAGCTGTAGCAGGGGAAGGCAGTTTCCGCGCAGTCTCCGGGCCCTTGCACTGTGATACGGTCGCAGAACCACGCGTTGTCCACCAGGGAGTGGTGTTTGCATAGCTTCACGAACTGCAGTGGCCCCAAGTCCTCGGGAATATCGTGCTCAAACTCCAACTCCTGTAGGGTGCAGAACCTCGCAAGACTTAGTAGCAGGCACCCCGGAGAGGCCGTTTTATTGGGGATTCAGGACACCCTGTGGAGGCCGGTGATAAGGCATCCCTTCGTTCCCTTCTCCCGACACTAGGAATGGTGGATCTCAGACACCCCTCGCACAAGGAGAACCAGGGACGCAATGCGTTACCCGCAGTGCCTTGAAATGAGGACTGAACATCACCTACACCCGTCTATGAACTGAGCTCTCACCGCGCCAGTGCTCTCCGAGGACCTTCCCCTTTGACCCCTGATCCCATAATGACCCTGGCCTGTGGTCAATTGGGGAAGAAGTGGAGGCTGCTGAGGACTATGGTTGCGGGGAGGTAGAAAGGGGTTGAGCCCAGCAGGGGCCCGGCCTCTGATCCTCTCCCCGGCCAGGAGAGGCGCCGACTGCTTCCCCAGACCCCAGCCCAGAAAGTCTGAGCCACTGCTGTCGCCTCCCACCACGAGCCCTGCCTGGACCGAGACCGGGATCGGAGTCCCAGCTTCGCCTGCTGACCTGGCACCGCGCGGGTCGCAGCTGCAGCTCCAGCTCTGACTCCCCGCGCACCCCGACCAGCCACAGCTGCACACGGTTGTGCGACCCAGAGAAGAGCCAGGCCCCAGTGGCCACTCGGATGCGGTAGCGACCCATGGCCTCTGACAACTTGGGCGATGGGGAGCAGGATCCTGCACTTCTTGGGACAGCCCAGGGCCTTCGCCGTGTGTCGAGGTTCCTTAGGGCCAGTTCCAGGCCTTTAAAGATGGGTCTGGGTCCCCACCCTCAACTTTCAGGCTCTCCCAAGTCCCCGCCCCAGACTAGCCTGAACCTGCCAGCGGCTGAGCAGGCTGTGAGGAAGGGCCGCGCCTCCCCGGCGGGAGCGTAACTACGGGAAGATGAAGGGGCCCAGGCGTGGGAGAGGCCGAGACAGTTGATGGATGTGCCCCGGCTTCCTGAACCTCCCGGCTAGGCCTGGGACCAGGAGCTTCGGGGTTGGAGGGAGCAAGGAAGAGAACATTTCCCCAGGTCTCCAGGCCTTTTGGAGAGCTAGGAAGAAAAGCGAGTGAGTTGGCCTTGCAAACAGAGGGTAACATCTCCCCTTTCCTGGGCTGGGGTCTGGGGAAGGCGGTGGGCTGCTTCTGGAAGGCCAGCCTAGGAGGCTTCGCTGGACTGCTAGACCTGTTATGGTCCAGAAAGTCTTCAGTTCCTGAATTCTACCTCATTTGAGCCCAGTCCTTCAATAAATGACTAGAGGTTCCCCAGGCTGCCTAGAACCTGGAAAAGTGACAGCTCAAAGACTTGCTCCCTACCTCTCCCTCAACCTGGTTTCAAATATCCCTGCATTAGGATCCCAAGTGCACCAGATAATAAGAGAGGCCTAACAAGCTGGACCGGTGAAAGCCTCCTTTTGTCCAACCTTCATAATGGGTGCAGAAAATGTTAGAGACCCAGGTGTTAGGGTGCAGTATGGAGTCACTTGGGGACCAGCATACATGGGCAATTTCCACGAACTTTGCCTTTTCCAGCTTCTTCCCTTTCTTTATATTCCAGGCAAATATTTATTCTGGCCTCATTTTACTGACGCTGGTGCCTGCTTCCCCTACCAGAATTCAGTTTTCTCCTAAAAAATTACATGTGAACAGGTATGAAGTTCCATTTCCTTCTTCTCTTGTGCTTATCCCCCCACCCCCCAGGCTATTTCCTCCTGGTCCTTCGTGGCACTCAGGGGACAAAACCAAGGAATAGCAGTAGGGCCATTGCTGGTTAAGGACTTTGTAAACATTGAAAGGATTCAGGTCTCAAGATTTGTCACCCAGGAATCAGATGAAGCTTCTCAAAGGTCTCTATTTAGATCTTCTTGATCTAAGTTATTATAAGCACTTGGCTCACAGTAAATGTGTCTGGTGGCCTGGGCTAAGCCAGGGCAAGGTAAATCTACTTTCTTGAGCCAGACCCTCAGAAATGACTTGGCATGTTGGTTACCGTTAAGGATAAAAGGGATTCTGGTCTTGTCCTCCAGCTTCCAGACCTCACGGAAGTGTCTAATCCATATCGAGTGCCCTTCCTCTTATCTTATAGGCCCACTCCTGCCCGCATCCTCTGTGCTCAGGACTGGTGTTTGCCATATGCTGGCCCCCAATTTCCAGCACTTTTGGGGGTCAGCCTACCTGTAATATCCAAATAGAATGGCTCACATCTCTATCTTATGTAGTAGCTAAATCTGGCGTTTCCACACACTCTTCAGAGGTCACTTTTGCCTAGAAAAGAGGTTGTTACAAACCTACTTCCAAAATCAGTACATACTTCAGCCTGCTTCCCTGCTGATGATACCTTTTCTACCCACTCTAGTGTACTGTGAGGTCACACGGTTGTGGAGTGTGGGAATGGGGGGATGAGTACTTAAGAACAATTATCCAAGCTACTGCATGTGCTCAATGAGTGAATATCTTAAAACACTTAGACAATGCCTGGCACATAGTCCCTGTATCTATTAGCTGCTATTATTCTATTATTTACAGAGTGGAAACAATTTCCAATTGACTGTCAGCATCACTCCTAGGAATTCCTCTGCCATTCTCTACCATGTACTGTTTTCCCATGTCCCTCCACAGGCCCCAACCTCCCACCAGGAATCTTACTCCTCCAGATCCTTCCTCCCACTTCTTTGGTTCTTTTTCCTTTTTAAACACATGCATTATGTTGGGGGAATATAATTAAAAACAAAATTTACCAACCCAGGAAAACCTCTCCATGAAGGTAGCAGAGCAAGAAAACAGATTTATTATTGAATGAGCATTAAACCAGAGTGCGATATGAATCACCAGCAATCCGCTAAGAGACCGCAAAGACAGAAATCTCATCCTTCTATGTAGCCAAGCAGGTACAACCCATGACACACATGTTCTCAAGATAAACAATAACTAGTTCTCAAGTAAGAGGCTTAATAGCACCATTTGTCATGCATAGTTCATCCTAACTTTACCTGGTAATTAGTGACCTGTGTTATTAATAGGCTTTATTGTAGGAAAAGCAAAGTTCTTGTATCTTTATGACAGGAAGTAATTTTGCAACTCGGAGCAAGATGCCTACCTCAGTTAGGCTCTTAACTTCTCACAGAAATTAAGAGTTAGGGCTGCTGTCTCCCTTGATTTCAAAGAGATGGCTCCCAGGGCCTTGGGAATGACCTTCCTTGATCACAAAGTTGGCAAGAAGCTTCTTTAACTTCTACAAAGATCGACAACATTTCAAAGAGACAGAACTTAAAATTACAAGTTTTCTAAAGTAATGCTCTAAGAAAAGGGAGGGTGGGGGAGAAATCTTTTTTGTTTGTTTGTTTTTTGTTTTTTTTTTATTATGGTGATATGGGTTAACAAAATCCAGTAAGTTTCAGGTGTACAATTCAACATAAGGCATATATACACATTGCATTTTGTGTTCATCTCATAGTTAGATAACTTTCTGTCACCACATATTTGACCCCTTTTATCCCATCTACCTCACCCCTCCATCCTCCTGCGCTACACTCCGGTAACAACTAGTCTATTGTCCATGTCCATGAGTCTCTGCTTGTTTGTCCTGTTCATTTGTTGCTTTTAGGTTTATATAAATGATATCATGTAGTTTTCAACTTTTTCTGTCTGGCTTATTTTGCTTAGCATGGTTATCTCAAGGTCCATCTATGTTGTCACAAATGGCAATATTTCATCCCTTCTTATGGCTGAGTAATATTCCATTATATATATGTACTACAGCTTTTTTATCCAATCATCTGTTGTAGGACACTTTGGTTGCTTCCATGTCCTGGCCACTGCGAATAATGCTGCTATGAACATGGGTGTTCAGATATGGGTTTTCAAGTCTTTGGAGTAAATACCCAGTAGAAGGATTGCTGGATCATATGGTAGATCCATTCTTAGTTTTTTGAGGAACCTCCATACTATTTTCCATAATGGCTGTACCAATTCACAGTCCCACCAGCAGTGTATGAGGGTTCCTTTTTCTCTACATCCTCTCCAACATTTGTTATTACTTGTCCCGTGGATTCCAGCTATTCTAACAGGTGTGAGATAGTATCTCATTGTGGTTTTGATTTGTGTTTCCCTAATAGATAGCGATATTGAGCATCTTTTCATATGTTTGTTTGCCACATGTATGTCTTCTTGGGAGGAGTGTGTTCAGGTCCTCTGCCTATTTTTTGATTGGATCATTTGTTTTTTTTGTGGCTGTTATTGACTTGTATGAGCTCTTTGTATATTTTGGATATTAGACCCTTATCGGAGGCATTGCTTACAAATATATTTTCCCAATCGGTTGGTTGTCTCTTTACCTTGTTGACAGTTTCTTTTGCTGAGCAGAAACTTTTTAGTTTGACGTAGTCCCATTCATTTATTTTTGCTTTTACTTACCTTGCCTTTGAAGTCAAGTTCATAAAATCGTCTTTTGGTCCAAGGTCCATGAGTTTAGTTCCTACGTTTTCTTCTATGCATTTTATTGTTTCAGGTCTTATATTCAGGTCCTTAATGCATTTTGAATTAATTTTGGTGTATGGTGATAGACAACAGTCTAGTTTCATTCTTTTGCAGGTGGCTGTCCAGTTTTTCCAGCACCATTTATTGAAGAGGCTTTCCTTTCTCCACTTTATGTTTTTGGCTATTTTGTCAAAAATTATTTGCCCACATAAACATGGGTTTACTTCTGTTCTACTGGTTTGTGTGTCTTTTTCTGCCAATACCATGCCGTTTTGATTATGGTTGCTTTGTAGTATAATTTGAAGTTAGGCAGAATGATGCCTCTAGCCTCATTTTTTTTTCTCAGGATGGCTTTGGCAATTCGGGGTCTTTTGTGCTTCCGTACGAATAGGATGATTTTTTTTTGTTCTATTTCTTTAAACAATGCCGATGGGATTTTGATGGGGATTGCATTAAATTTGTATAATGCTTTAGGTAATAAGGTCATTTAAACTACATTGGTTCTTCCAATCCAGGAACACGGAATATCTTTCCATTTCTCTGTATCTTCTTTGATTTTTTTTTAAATAGGGTCTTGTAGTTTTCATTATATAGGTCTTT